TGACAGGAGCAAAGTGAGTTGGCTGGGAGGTGAAGACACAGATGGACCTGGAATGATGGCTTGGTGTTGGGAGCCATGGGTATCCTTGTAAGGACTGTGGCTTTTATTCTTAGTGAGGTGGAAGATGATAGGAAGGTTTTTTGAAAAGGAGGTGACATGAATTCCTCTGAGTTCTTACAGGATTGCTCCAGTTCTGTTGATACAAGTACCCAGTAAACAAGGAACAAATCAAGGAGAGCAGATACTAGAATGATGTGGGCCAGGAAAAAGGGTGACTTGGACCAGTACAGTGACAACAGTGCTGGTGAGCTGGAGCCAGCCATATTGGGGTGAATATATGTTGAACACAGAAATGATGATGGTAGTTGATACTTATATAATCTTGATAAGTGCTAAGTGCTATTCTAAGTACTTTTAAATTTATTTGTGTGTTTTCTTTACAAATGAGAGGAATGAAAAGCAGAGGGGTTAAGTATCTTGTCTAATATTTCATAGCTAATAACTAAATCAGAGAAGGCTGACACTCAGGAAATGGATTTCAAATTTCTGCTTTTCATTCAGGTTCAATAGAACCTTTCAAAAATCAGTATTTAGGTATTGCATTTAAGCCTCATCGGATGAGTATTCTTTAAAAATGCATAAATCCTCAGTAATAAATCTAGATGGATTTCTCTTTGGAGAGTGAATAATTTGAAATTTTATGAACCATGATTTATTTATGTAAATAATGTAAACATCCAAAAGACAATTTCCTTCAAATTTCTTGGGGATGTCTCAGAATTTTTGAGCCTTTAGTATGAACAAAGGAAAGGCACCTGCTCAAATTAGAATTACTAATCTCCCTAGAGCTTTGCAATTTTAGCACTTAATGAAAATGGTCATAAAATCTGTAACTGGAAATGGATGGTCAAGAGTCTCTCTAATCAGGAGGATACTACTAAGAATTTTAAGTGGATTAGTTCTTACATGCTGGAAGTGCAGTAGGGGCCACTATTTGAGGAACACTAAGTTTAGTAACTTAGGCTCTATCTCATCTCAAACAGATGGGTGCTGGCGTTTCAAACTCAGAGGGATTCATTTCTAGCTTTAAATATTTGTAGGATTAGCAGTCCCTAAAACCAGGATGCTGTTTTTAGTACTTGGAGAGCTGAGAACTACTGAAATGGCTCTCACCATAGGGCATTTCCAGGTTTGTGTGAATTTGATGAAACAGAACTTGTGTATGAAGGATGGAGGGAGGAAAGACTTTTCTTTCTTTGACTAGCTGATTCTCCTAATTTCTTGTCATTAATTTTTTTTCTTGTTGATGATACTGAACAGCTTTAGGAGGTCTGGTTTTTGACAAGAAAAAAGGCATGGACAGGTACAGTGAGAAAAAAAGAACAGACTCCTGGGATATAGTGTGGTGTGTGTATCAGTCTCAATGTTGTACAATCAGGAAAAATTTTCCTTTGAGTACTTTTTTATTCTTTATAAGGATTTCAAATTCAATTGTCTACTCTCCTTAAGAAGTTAATGATATTACTATGGTTTCATATTTTTTGATTTACAAACACTTTTCAAATGCTTATAATTAATATCATGTTTTGCTTTAATTAATGAACTCTGCCTCAAAAGAATGATTTTTACTTTTGATTTTGATAATATGTAGCAAAGATAATTTAAGTGTAGATTATTACAGACTGAGGGTTTTTAGAATTTTTTTTTTTAATTTTTGAAATAGGGCCCACTTTGTAGTTCTGGCTGTCCTTGAACTCACTATGTAGCTGAAGCTGGCCTCAAACTTGCAGTGCTGGGATTACAAGTATGTGCCACCATGCCTGGTTTACAGATTGAATTTTGGAACTATGTTGAAATTGAAATGTATTTAAATGGACATTTTCTTTCTCCCAGTTTGATCTGTAAGAAATACACCAGGGTGTGAGTGCCATTATCATTCTATATATGTAATTTAATTCTTTCAAAGGTTGTGGGCATGGCTCTAATCAGAGTACTTTGGGAGGTAGAGGCAGAGGATGGGAAATTTTGAGTTCCACTTGTGCAATTTAGTGACTTGGCAAAGCTGTGCCTCAAAATAAATAAAAGGTGAAGGATGTAGCTTAGTGAAAAGGTCCTAGGTTCCATTTCCAGTGCAAAAACAGGTTTCACGCCAAGCAAAGAAAAGCAACAATCTTTCTATAAACACATGTATGTATTGGTGTTTGAGGAATCCAAATAAAACATTGGCATTTATTTAAAATAACTTTTGGACTGGGCATAGTGATATATAGCTGTAACCTCTGCACTTGGGAGGTTGAGTCAGAAAGAACGTGAGTTCAAGACCATCCTGAGCTACATATTGAATTTGAGACCAGCTATTATAGTAAGACCTTGTCTTGAAAAATAAATGAAAGAAATGATTATTTGGCTGTTAATTAAATACTAATGTAGATTTAAAGTGTACAAATATTCTCTTTTGCTAAGGAATGCTTATATTGGAGGAGTTGTATATGTGTAGGGTCAGTATATATATATATATATATATATATATATGAAATCTCTGTTTTTTGCCTCAATTTTGCTATTATCCTAACATTTCTCTAAATATGGCTATTAAAAATAATTGTAATGTTAAACTGGAAGCTCATCATATGAAAATCAGCTAATCCAGATTAAAACTACTTTGATGATATTCCACTTGATAATGGTGTAAACATTTTCTATTTTATGATACATGTAAAAGCAAAAAGAACTGGGATATAAGAGAGTATTATTTGGTTCAACAATCAAATACATAATGTAGTCAGTCTATAGCAGCAGTACGACCTATTCACTTGGAATATTTTCACCTCTTATGCTGTGTTACTCAATTTAACTGCTTAGTCTGATGTTCATTTTCAGCTCTAAGTAGAGGTGATATTTCTAGTGTCATATGTCATCCGTTATGTCATCTGCAACTCTGTGAATTCTAAGTATGTGCCTCAGAGGAAACAGCATGCAAAGTCATTGGGTGGGGAACAGGAAAAATATAGGAGAGTAGAATGGTAGCTTCCCTTGGGTTAGCTCTGACTTTTTGAAGCATATTTTTTGTTGCTTGTGAGTCAATTAGTCTTTTTGGTCCAGTGTCTTCAACGAAGATATATATTACACAGCAATCTAGGCTTCTGTTTGAAATTTCTGTTAACTATGCCGTCATTGCAGTACACACATGCATAGCTTTGGCCCATTCGTCCAGTTACTATTATCCATCTTACCAGGCCTCTTCTATTCCCTTCCATGGGTATGAGATGGGACTGCATAACTGCAGGTGCTCTTAGCATACACATGGCAGCACACTGGCTCTGAATGCTTTAGGAGGTCAGAAGTGGACCTGAGCCTCTCTGGAGCCTTTAATGCTGCTTACCTAGCACTGGTTCTGTATCTGAATGCTTTCGTTGTCAGAGATTCTATTAAGTTGCTAGCAACTGAGTGGTTTTGCCTCGTATAGGTAAAATTGTTCAATGTTATTGAATGTTGAGGCTTTTCACAATCTAAATTTTTACTTTGTGTGTTGTTAAAAAAATTAAAAACTTTCACACTGCTTTTTCTGTCCCTCTAGTCCTTCTTAAGAATTTTGAATTGAAGAATTCAGGGCTTTTAAAATGTTCTTATTTTCCACATTTAGTTGCTGAACTCTCTCTCTCTCTCTTCTTTTTTAATTTGAGAAATGTAAACAACCTAAAACTGAAAGTATACTATGCTGATATTTTTCTTCAGTTCAGAAGGTAAATGTCTATACTTTGGTGTTCTTGTTGACTCTTGGCAGATTAAAGTGTTTATGCATTCTGCCAGTGCAGAATCACAAGTGTGAATTCTGCTGAAACTTGGGCCTCGATCATATAGGACCTGGGCTGAATTTGTTCCTTCTGTAGTTATTGTTGGGGAGCAGAAAGTTTGCTGAATAAATGATGAGGGTAAACAAGATCACAGAGTGTGGAAGAGATTTAATCAATATACTGTTTCAAAGCACTTTAAATGGGTCATTTCTTAAAACTACAACTCATTATAGACTTGATCAAAATTCTACAGCAGCAGTGGAATTTAGAGATCAAAGGCTCTAAATGCTTTTTTTTAAGTAAAGAAATTGAAGAAAAAAAGAAAGAAAAACAAAGAAACAGAATGTGTTCAAGATAACAATTCTATCAAGTGTAGGAAAGGGACCATAATCCATTTCTTTTTCTCCAACACAACTGAGTCCTTTTTATCTAGTGATGTTAGTAGAACACCGTCGAGAAAGTATCCTCTTTATTAGGTTAGAATGAATTAATTTGAAAACAATATCTCAAAAATAATTTGATTTTCAAGATAATTTACATAGATTTCTTTTCATTGGCTTTAATAATACTTTTCCGTATTTGCTATTTGTTTTGGAATTTAGTTTATGATAGTTAGTCCATTTGTAATGAGAATAAAATTGTTTTATTTTTCTTCATAAGCTAAAAATATCTATTATATATGTGAAAACATTTATTAAATATTTAAAACAGAGTTTTGTGATGACTTGCTTTTTTGTATGAAAGCATAGTCTTTATGGCCTTCAGGATGAAGACTATGTATGAAATTTTGAAACACATTTAACACTGAATAACTGTGATGAAAATCACTGAGGGCCTTTGGAACTGTGGAATTTAGTTGACTTTGAGGTGTCTGGCGCTGCTTTTTGGCAATGCAAAATTAGCAACTGTGAAGTTACTTGTGTTAAAATGCTTGCCATAAGTACTTTTTATATCTAACAAATATGAAACACAAAAAGGGTTTTCAAGAGTATATTCAAATATTTTGAAGATTTCCAAGGGCTTTTTCTCACATTATCAAATAAGCCACTTTCATATTCTGGACTGGAATGCAGTCCTCCAGTGATTTAAATATTGGGTGTGGACCATACACAGAGAGCTCCACATTTAAACTTCGTGTTTCTGTATTTTCTTTTCTTCACCATTTACAATTGTCTAACTCATTAGAATCTTTTTTATTCCTTTCAGATAAATGTACTACCAGAGCTGTATCATCTTTGCAGAAAGGAAGGATTATGTCAAATAATTAGAAGATTTCCAGGTAATCTTTAGTTTAGTTAATTATGAATATGTTCATGACATAATGTATCCTTGGCAGACATCAACTAATGAGCACTCAGACTGGCAGTTTTATTGCTTTGTCTATCAATTCCACTATCACATGCCTTCTATAGTCCACAGATTTTACCAAGGGGAAGACTTTGATAATAAGTAATATAAGCATAACACTGTTTCATTCTCTCTTTTGATTTGCTAGGTGTATATTACTTTTTATCTATTCTGTGTGTACTTAAAATAACTTTTGCACTACTTAGAAAAAATATTGTAGTAACTCTTGGTTGTATAAAACTTGATGTTTTGAAAAATAAAGGTTTCTTCATGATTCAATCATTGTGATCATAAAATATATTCTTTTCCTTTCTAAAATCATCTCACTTGTCCATGTGTTTAAAACAGGTTACGAAGTAACTTCTGTCTGGACTGAATTGGAACTTTTAAACAAAATTACCACCTCCAATTTCCAAATAAGTTCATTTAGTGGAAAAAAAAAACAGTGGAGGGACACGAGCATTTATGGGTGAAACAAGCCCTTACTAATAAAATCACAGCTTGCTTTGAAACACACTGGTGGAAGAGTTCTCAAATTTTGTGTTTAAAACTCATTTGTTGTTTAATACTTTATGCCCTTAGAAAGTATTTCATTACATAGTTAAAATTTAGAGCTGCATAACTTTGTATTTTATATTAATTTATTCTCAGTGGAATCAGAAAATTGTAGATGCATTAGCCTTCAGCTTTCTATGGGGTTCTGTCTCCACAAACATGAAGCCCCTTGGCATGTTCCATTGGGAAGACTACAGTCTTCTAGAGTATTCAACAGGAATTAAAATAGAAATGAATCAGCAATTCAATTTTCAATTTAAAATGCATTTCCATATAAATAGCTGAATAAATTTTGCTCTATAATTATTGTTATATATAGTAATTATAACTGATTATAATCTCTGGGGGCTTTGGTAATCTCTAGCTGGATAGCTTTTTTTTTCTATAAAGAAGTAATATTTTGTGAAAAGTAAAATAATCTATTTCTATTAGTAGAATATATGAATATACAAAGTTCCTTTAAGGCAATCTGAAAAAAATTGTTTGCATTTTGATTATAGTCTGCAGATTTTTACAGTTTGTTTTCCCTTTTTATTACTGGCATTTCAGGATGGTTGATTCAGAGTACTAAGGTTTTTAGCATTGTAGTTAGCAGAAGAAAATCATAGCAGTGGTTATGATTTGAAATCAATTATCAGTTTTAAAAATTTACACCATCTTACATAATTATATTTTATTTTCTTAAAATTAATAAATATTTCTGTCTTCTTTTGCATTTTTAAATTATTATTTATTTATCTTTTTGAGACAGGGTCTCATTATGCAGTTCAGGCTGGTCTTGAGCTCACTTGTAGCCCAGACTGATCTCCTGGGCTACAATTTGCAATGATCTTCCTACCTCAGCCTCCCAAGATCTGGGATTACAGCTATGCACCACCATACCTGGCTGTTTCTTTTGCTTTTAAACATGCCATTCTTAAGAATATTTATCAATTCTAGACACATATAGTCCTTTTCTCACTGTCTAGTATGTTAGTTTTTTATCTCTGGGACAAACAATTTTTTATGGACTATACAGTCTTTTCAATAAATTTATTTCTCCTATCCTATTATCTTTCTGTAGCTGAAGGTAATTTTCCTAAATATCTAACTTTAAATGAATGTATTGGCAGCATTATTTTCTGATACATTTTATAAACAGTAGACTTTGTTGTAGAGTGTTACTAAAAATATATCATATGTAATATAAATTCAGTATTTATAAAACTAAAAATATTTTGTTTATCGTTAATGATAAATATTTAATACTGAGTTCAGATTAGGTACCTAAATATATGGTGTTTTTAAAAGGTAAGATAATAAATCTAAGCATAATAGTAAATAATGTAGACATTTTACTTAAAGGCACACTAGCCTGTTGTGTTTTAAGCTTTGTTTTATTTGGAGATTGACAAAGAACATATTTTGAAGCTAGAAAGTTTTGCTTTGCTGCCTACTAACTATGTGACTTAACTTCATGGGATTGTTAGGTTTTTGTTGTTCTTTTGTTCTTTTAAATATGTAAGTGCAGATAAGAAGATCTATTCCATAGGTTTTTTCATAGGTTTAATTTTAAATCGATTAAATTGTATATGTATGTGTATTTGTATATATGTATATATAATTTTATTTGAAGAATAAAGCATGTTTTATGTCATATCTAATGTGTAATGCTCAGAATCGTAACTTAATCGTCCTAGATGTGAAAAATCAAACAAGAAGCTTCATAATACTTAAGGTTTTCTCTCTTTGTATGATTGATTTCTCCCAAAATTTTATGTTTCTGTTAAAAACTGTGAAGATTCCAAGTCGTCCTGCCACAGTTACGCGTATTATTAGAGGCCCTGAGATGCCAGAATTAGACAAATGACATTTTTATTTATGAGACTAGCAAACTGGAAATATTTGCACCATTCTACCGAATCCAGGCTTATCCCCTGGCTAGGTGATGCTTGTGTACTTACTTGTGTGCATTTCATAAGAAGAACCTCAAGTTTAGGGAATATGAATCTTTTGCAGTGGGTAGTGACATTTGGCCCAGAGAACGATAATAGTTTAGGTAGACTAGCCAAACCAAACTTGCCCTCTTTTCTGACGTAAAGTCCTATCTGTATTTTTCAAAGATATCTGTATATCAATATTGGTAAAGATGGTTCAGAACAAAATTTGTTAGTGCCTCTTTGCAAGATGTGCAAAAATATGAAAGTTATATAGAGAAGTGTCTCTAGTAGTTTTAGAGAATACCAGGTAAAGTCTACCTCTGATACTTCCCTATCAATACCTGAAACATCCATATTTTTTCTATACCTCTCCTTGATCCACTGACGTAGAAAAATCTTACAGTCTGATATCTTGGCTCCCACACAACAGATATTGTAATAAATCATGCAAGTATACAGCAGTACATTTTTCCAATGATGTATTTGTTGCATTGGTAAAGTTGGAAAAAAAGTCACACTGTCCATCAGTTTTCAGCTCAACCACCACTGATAAGAAAACTGGCTAGTGGTCCCTGGAGGAGCTTCAATGTATAATTCTGAGCAAGGTTTAAAATCTAGTTGTGCTTCCGTTTACTGAGCTATAAAGATACTGAATTTGGTAATGGTCAGTAATGCTGAGATCCTGTTTCCACTGTGCCCTTTCTCACCAAAAGCTTTTTGTCCCAGGCTTAATCATCAGTAGTAGGTAGGGACAAAGGTGCTAAGAAAAGAAAATGCTGGTATGGTGAAGGTGGTGGGGACTCACGCATAAGAGGCAGGACAGTTTGGGCTAGTTGCAAGGGAGTGATTGGAGACATTTAAGGCTAACACAGTCTGTTCCTTCCATAGCTGACCGCAGTGTACCTGACCTTAGCCTTGTGACTCACCAAGAAAGGCACACATCCATGGAAACTTTGCTGGCTAGCACAAAAATTTATTTTTATCTTGCCATGTAATGTTTTGTTCTTGAAAAAAAAAACATTTTATGATATTTAGCTAGTCCCAACGTTGTTAATGCTTCTTATAAGTTTTTTTTTTAAATAAAAAAATTCCTTTCCCATATTTGAACTACAAGTACAAAAGAAAACATAAAAGAACTATTTTAGATGGGTTGTTAATTGTTGTTTTTGTTCTTTTAAGTGCTGCATCACCATCCAAGAAGTTCTGGGTAAGAGTATGCTAAAGTTTTGGCCATAACTCATTCTTTCCAGTAGTTTTATCTTAGTTCTAATCACTGACTCACATATGAAGTTTGAAATATACCAAGATTTGTACTCAAAGATAACACTTTGAACATTTGAAGATCTATGTGTTCATTTTAAAAGTAATATGTGAGCACATAAAGAAAAAGAGATGTAATAGATAAAATTTAGCACTTGCATTGAATCTAAAGATGGGGCTTTACAAAATATCAGATATTACTACCAAATATAAAATATACCATGAAAAGAAGTTATTTTAAAATATCAATCAATAACAATTACTTAACATAAGTAGCTCTGACAACAACTTTTAAATATTCCAAATCTAACATTCTCAGCAGAGAAGGCCAGAACTTGTATGTTCTCAAATCCAGATGCTCTGTCTGTTTCTGGGTGCTCCTTGATGATACTCTCATTCTGAAGACTTTTGTTTTCTGTGCCACACATGATTATACTCTTTATGCAAAATATTTTTCCCCCAAGTAAACTCTCATCTCTTTAGTATGACTGAGTTAAGCAAGGTGGTAGCAGAATGTAAACTGGTGGAACTAATTCATAATAAATTATACCCTTACCCTAACTGTAAGCCTCATATATATTTGCATTTTTGTAAAAGAAGTTTGCAAATCCAATAAATTTCTAATTGGTAAACTTTCTGGAAGTACATTCAAATTCCCATTCAGTTCCTCAGCAAACCACCCCCAAATCCTATTAAATCCACCTATTTTCTTCCAGTCTACCTGTCTAGTTCACTCAGTGCTCTCTCTTTTTTCCTCCTGTGTAATTCAGCCACAATTTTTATCCCTATCCTTTCATGAAGAGATAAAACAAGCCTGTTACATCTGCCCAGAAGTCTGTCTCGGGTTGGAAGCAAGGAGATACAGGTAACCAGGCTTCTGATGCTGTGGCTTGATCCTTGGGTAGATTTTATGTGGAAAAAAGAATCAAGCACAAATTGCTTACAGGGATCTAACATATTGCAAATCTGGAATGAATTCAGGAGTTCAAGAGACTAGATAATCTGTAACTTTTCAGGATTTGGCCTGGCGTTAAATGTAAAAACTCTTCAATAGAAAATAAGAAGAGCTGAAGACATTGCAAAGGACAAGGTAATTCCAAGTTTTCACAGCCCTGTGCCTCTCAGCAAGTCTACAATGTGGGAAAGCTAAAGAAAATCCCCACCCTTTCTTTTGGCCCTATGAAAACGCAGTGACTCT